CTGCAGGGGAGGTGACGCTGTCTCTGGCCTTAGCTTCCCATCGCCGCCTTTGATGCACGTGCCAGCCACTCGGGGGCGCCCCTGCTCCCTTCGGGTCTGCCGGGGCCCAGGCCTGCCCCAGTTGCCCCCTGTGGGGCGGGGGCATCTGGGCCTTGCCAGGGGGCCGGGCGCTGACTCCGTTTCTCTGGCTTCTTTCCAGGTGGGCTTCTTCAAGCGCAGCCGTCCCCAGCAGGCTACGGTGCCGCAGTACCACGCCATCAAGATCCCGCGGGAGGAGCGCCAGCTGTTCCGCGAGGAGAAGACGGGCACCATCCAGAGGAAGGAGTGGGTGACGAACTGGAGCGAGGGCGGCGACAGCCACGTGCCCATCTCTGGCTAGGCACCCCCCGTCCCGCCTGGGGCCGCGACACACGCGAGATCCCCCTGGCCGGCGCCGGCTCAGACCTGGGGGTTTTGTGGGCGGGGTCTCTGCGGAGCACACCGAGATGGGGGTGACTCTGCCTCGTTAGCCGGGGGCTGCTCTTCCCGTCGGCTGCCGGACTCGAGATGCGGGACCTGTGCCCAGCCTGCCCATTGAGCCCTGAGGACAAGGGGGTGTAGCGCTGCCTCCTGCTGGCTGGGGCCGGAGCTGCTCAAGTCTGTCAAACCCCCCTGCTCCAGGGGGATCCCAGCCCCACGGGGCCCAGACTGGTTCAGGTGGTAAACCAAAGTACAGGGGATGACCCTACCCCTTTCTGTAGTGATCCCGCAGTGACCCCGCCCCTTTGTGCAGTGCCCCCGCTTTTCTCCAAGCAGACCCTGCCCCCTACCCTGGGCTCCCCTGTGTGATTGACTCCATGGTCTAGCTGGGGGTCTCTGCTTATTGTTATTAAAGGGACACTGTTGGGAGAACAATGGCGTATCGCCCATGCCTGCCCTGCACTTTGCCCCACAAGCTTCCCCCCCCACCCCGCCCAACGGGGCCCACGAGACACTAACCAGAAACCCACGAAGAATTTTTCAGCGTCTGTGTCCAACCCCTGCCCCTGGGAGCTGAGCTCTGCAGAGTCTGGGGGAGAAGGGGCTGGATTTACCCCCCACCCCAACCCCGCACGCTGAGCTGAGTCCAGCAAAGGATCCCCCAGCCCGGCACCACGGTCACAACGCATTTATTCACTGTACGGCCCTGGGCACAGGAGAGAGGAGATTCTGCATGGTAGAGTTGGGGGGAGGGGGAGCTGGGAGCCAGGACTCCGGGGTTCTCTCCCGGCTCTGGGAGGGGAATGGGGGCTAGGGGGTAGAGCGGGGGTGTGTGTGTGTGTGCTGGGAGCCAGGACTCCTGGGTTTTGTTCTAGGTGCTGCCACTGGCTTGCTTTGTGACCTGGGAGGCATTGCAGCCCCTCTCTGTGCCTCGGTTTCCCCAGAAATGGAATGGCTCTGTCTGGGCTCACCCACTTCCTCGGGAGGGGGGCCCCTGGTTACTTGGGGTCTACAAAGCGCATTGTGAGTCTGGGCAGGGGGGGTCGGTTTCTCTAGCCCCCAGGACTGGCCCCCACCCTCTACTCGGCTTTCTTCAGGCTGAGGTCACCATGGCAACCAGCGTGGCGTATTCCTGGAAGTCGATCTGGAGGTCGCCGTGGGCGTCCAGGTCCCTGAAGAGCCGCTCCAGGGTCTCGGGGTGGCGGATCTCCTGCAGCCCAGGGAGAGGGAGTTTATGGGCCCCGGGCCTTTTCCCTCGAGGGGGGGCTGGCTTGGGGGGCAGGGAATGGGGCACACTTCCCCAGTGGGACTGTCTCTGCCCAGGGCCCGTGCCAGGCAGCTCCATCAGCTGCCCCCAGCCAATCCCCCCTCCCCTTCCTGCACCGTGGGCACCTGGTCGGTGCCGCTGGCGCTCACCTGGCCCAACAGCCGCAGTAGGTGTGGAGCACTGCCAGGGTGGAGAGCAGCGCCCGCTCCGGGGCCAGGGCCGGCTTGGGGGCTGGGCACAAGGGGGAAGGACTGGCCGGGGGTGCAATGGGGTGGTGGGGGAGGGGCACCAAAGGTTGGTATCAAGGACACAGCGGGGTCCCTGTGCTCAGCACCGCTGGGCCCTTGAGCACTGCCCCCCAGCCCAGTGTCCCCAGGTCGCTCTCAGTGACCTGCCCCGCACCCCACCCCATGGGCATTATTAACCCTTTATGGCCCGGGGGGGGAGCTCACCCTGCTGCTGCTCGTCCCATGGCCCCTTTCACCCCCCCCCCCGATAGCCTCATCTGCAGGCACTAGCGGGGTCCTTACACGGTGGGGGTGGGATTGCAGTGGGGCTGGAGAGCGGCAGCCTCTATCCGCCAGGGAACCCCCCCACCCCCCCGCTGTCCTTTCCCCTGCCCTGGGGCCCCAGGCTGGGGGGGTCTCCCTGGCACTCGGCTGGGGCTGCCAGCCCAGGGCTCCGGTTCACGGCAGGTGCTCTGGGTGACGCGGATGCCCATCCCCCACTCCAAGCCCCACCACGCTCGTCTCACCCAGGGGCCCTTGGTCCCCAATGACCCAGACTGCATCTGAAAGGAACCCGCTGCCCACCCTGCCCCTCGGCCAAGGCTCCACCACCACGGCCACCGCCCACCCGGCCCAAGCCCCACTCCCAGCTCTCCCCAGGGGCCTGCCACAGCCCCACTAAAGAGCAGGTGCTGAGGGGAGGGGAGGACTGGGGCAGGCTCCCTGGGCAAGCCTGGCCGTGCCACCCAGCTGTGCCTGTGGGGGGGAGAAATGAAGGCCCCCAGTTTTGGCAGAGGAGGGTTCCCGGCTGTCGACACCCCCCAGCTCCAAAGGGGCTGGGGAAATGAGCTTGGACTGCTTCACGCTCCCTGGAGTGGCCGGTTCAGACCCCAGCAGGTCACCCAGCCCAGCTCCTGTCTGCTCCGGACCCCTGGGGATCCTGTCTCTCCAGCATGCGCCCTCCTCCCCAGAGGTGGCTGCATTTCGGTGGGACCAGGCGTATTATGGGATGCACAGGAACCAGGGTTCTTTGCCGTGAAAGGGGGGGCATATTATGGGATGCACAGAGCCCTTGGTTCCATGCAGCTCCCATGTGCTGTCCCTATTGCTTGAGTCACCCAGGGAGGTGGACACGGCTCCTCAGCCCCACTCGCATGCCTTGGCAGAGGCTGGAAGCCATGTCCAACAGGCGGCAGGAGCGCTGCAGAGAGACTCTCGGAGCTGCCTGTGCTCCACAGCTCGCCTCCATCGGCGGCGGAGGGATCACGGCTGTTCCACAATCTCCCTGCGCACTAACAACTGTCCGTGCCGCTTGTGGGACCTTGCCTCAATTATTCAGCATCCGCCCAGACGTTAAAAAGCTCTTCACTGGCTCTAATGGAGCCCTGGCCACGGCCGAGCCCATTAGTGGCGGGGAGAGGGGCTGGATCCGGCCCGGGTTCCTGCTAGCGCTGCGCCCTGAGGAAACTGAGGATCGGGGTGTCCAGCGGCAGGAAAGAGGTGGGAGACTCTGGGCTGGCAAGGAGGCTCGTCATCCTGATCAGGGGGATCGGGGTGGTGGTGGTGTCAGATCATAGATGTGTAGGGCCAGGCAGGTCCCCAAGAGGTCCCCCTAGATCACCATCACCTGGCTAGCAGCCCCCATGGGGGTTAAGGTGTCCCAGGCGTGTGGCCGGAGGGGTGGGAATTGAGGTCAGGCCTGGCAGAGGCAGCATGCTACAGCAGAGAGGACGCTGGGCCTCAGGACTCCTGGGTTCTCTGGTGACCTGTCGGGTCTCCCAGTAAGGCCAGGGCAGGGCCCGTCCGTCTGTGCAGCGGGTCCCGGCTGGCCGCGGGCGCGTCTGTGACACGCCGGCCCGGGTACCCCAGCAGGGGCTTGTGCGTGTCGGGGGCTCGGGGCAGGTCCCCGGGGAGGCCAGGGCCTGCTGACGGCTGCCGCGCTGGGGTGGGCCGGGGGATGCTGAGCCTGCCATGGCAACGGGAGCGAGGCTGACGGGATTGGGTGCCCCATTGCTATGGCGACCAGCTTCATCGCATCGCCTGTGGCCAGGCCACAGCCCTGGCTGTTGCCACGTGGGTGGGGTGTGCGCTGCCATGGCAACAGGGGGCCCCAGTCTCTGGTAGCCAAGCAGTGGTGCAGGACAGGCCATGGTGACACGCTTCACCAAGATGGCGCCGCTCATTCAGCCGCCAGAGCGCGATGGCGGCGCCCACGGGCAGGGTCACGCAGTTTGAACCGGAAGCAATCGCTCTCTTCCGCTTAGGCCCCCGGAAGTTACCGAACTCTTCCGGAAGTGAGCCGCCTCTGTGGATGGGGGCTCCTGCTAGTCGGACGTCACCGCGGAGCAGACGGAGCCGCCGCACCGGGGAATGGTGAGGCCGCGGGGCCGCCGCGTCTCGCCTGGGGGGGGGCTCCGCGTCCGGGTGAGAGGGCGCCTGGCCGGCGGGGGTGAATGCGCATGCGCGGCCTGGAGCGGGGAGACAGACTCCGCGTCCCAGCGCGCATGCGCCTGATCACTGTCAGGGAGAGGATGGGGTTGCTATGGAGACCCCCCCCAAGGGAGAGACCCCTCCCCCCAGGCCCGGCCAGGACGCCTGGGTTCCACCCCAGCTGTGCCGCTGACTCCATGCGCGATCGGGGGAGGGGGGCGAGCGACTCGTCCCATCGTGCCTCAGTTTCCCTCCCTGTGGCTCCCCGGGGCAGCGGCTGGGACTGGGGGGAGGGGGTCTATCCCTTGGGGGGGGTCTCCATAGCAACCCAGCCTGGAGCTACAGAGCCGGCCCCTTGCTGGGGGTCTCGGCGCCCTGCGGGCTCCGTGGGGGCGGCTGGTGAAATCCGCCCCCCCCTGCTTGGCGTCCGGCTGCAGCGAGCGAGCCGGGCGCAGGGGGAAGCAGCCCCTTGGCTGGTCCTGCCTGTTCACACGCCTACGCGCCCGCCTGGGCCCATCCTGGGGAGCCCCGTCCCCCCTTGGCATTTCCACCCCTCGGGGCCGGGGGGGGGGGTCTCCTCACGGTGCTCAGGGGGTGGGTGGGCGCCCGTCCTGCTGGAGGGGCTGCGTTGTCCTTCAGAGGAGCCGTAAACCCAGGTTCCCCTGGCGTCCTGGCCCAGCTCCAGTCTGTGCGTTACCTTCTGCTTTGCCGACAGCGTCTCCTGCATCCACTGGGGTCTGGGCGTCTCTGTCGCTTCCTGTCCTGGATCGCGAGATCTTCCGGGCAGGGTCTGTGTGTCCGGGGCCCAGTCCGGCGGGGCCCTAATTGAAATCTTTGGGTGCTACCACAGTGCAGATAATAAACCGCTGTGCAGTGTTGCTGTGAGCTGTTATCCATCCACGTTCCTCCGCAGAGTTGGCTGCATTTGAGTGGAATGTCACATGATCTCTATATCAGATCCATGCGCTGCAGTCCTGATGTGGGGGTCTCCCTCTCTGGAGTTGTGGGGAGGTTTGCCTTCTGGGATCTCTAGTCTCTAGGGCTTTCTGCCATATAACATGTAAGGTTTGCCCACAGCCACCTGCTCCCTGGCATTGGGCAGGCTGGCGCAAGGGAGCGCAGGTTCTCTGTGGCCGCCTGGCGTCTGAGCCCTTTGATGTGGAGGGGTGAGGCTCTGTCTCCTCTGTCCCCGTGCAGACGTGCTGGACTCCGGACTGATGGCGTCAGGCACGGCGAGCCGCTCTGAAGACGAGGAGTCGCTGGCGGGACAGAAAAGGAGCTCATCGCAGGTCTCGGGCACCATCCCCAAACGGCGGAGCTCCTCCAGGTACCCAGGAAGGGCCCAGGGCAGTGAGGAGGGGGTGGGGTTCCCTGCGTCGTGCAGGGACCCCCTCTGGCGGTAAGGATGGATTAGTCCAGTGCAGTCCCAGAGAGGGGGATGGGAAGGTGGGACGTGGGGCTTCCTGATGTCCTGTGATGAACCAGGTGCTGCTAACTCAACACCA